GTCAGTGCAGAGGCAGAAAAGGATCTTGGAGTCACTATTGATGCCAAAATGAACATGGGCCGACAGTGTGGGGATGTGGTCAGGAAGGCCAACTGTACCTTATCATGCATCCACAGATGCATCACGAGCAGGTCCAAGGAGGTGATCCTCCCCCTTTATGTGACACTGGTCAGGTCGCAGTTGGAGTACTGCGTCCAGTTCTGGTCACCGCATTTCAGGAGGGATGTGGACAGCATGGAGAAGGTCCAGAGGAGGTCCATTTGCATGATCAGGGGGCAGCAGGGCAGGCCCTATGAGGAGAGGCTACGGGACCTGAACCTGCTCAGCCTCCACAAGAGAAGGCTGAGGGGGGATCTAGTGGCCATTTACAAACTAGTCAGAGGGAACCAGTAGGCATTGGGGGAGTCCCTGTTTCCCCGAGCACTACCAGGAGTGACTAGAAATAACAGTCACAAGCTGGCAGAGGGTAGATTCAGACTAGACATCAGGAGGCGCTACTTCACAGTTAGGGCGGCTAGGATCTGGAACCAACTTCCAAGAGAAGTGGTGCTGGCTCCTACCCTGGGGGCCTTTAAGAGGAGGTTAGATGAACACCTTGCTGGGGTCGTTTGACCCCAGTACTTTTTCCTGCCATGGCAGGGGGTCGGACTTGATGATCTGCTCGGGTCACTTCCTACCCTCCAACTGTGAGCTATGAAACTATGAAAATTGTGAGGCAGGAATAAACTGCTTAGAAAAGTTGTGGATTTTCCATCACTGGTGGTGTTCAAGAACAGGTTGGACAGCCACTGGTTGGGGATGATCTAGATGTCACTATGCCTATGTTCTATTATGGATATTTCCCATGCTTCCGAGTTTTGCTGGTGCCTTTTTCCCCCTCTCGCCCTTTTTTTTCTGCTATACATGTCAGGGTGTTTTAAGTCTCCCCAGAGGCATTGAGTGTTGGCTACAGCTAAAGCTCTGGACTTCAACTGGGGTGTGCTGATTCTCCTGCTAGGAGCGAAGCTGGAGGTTTCTGGCTGTAGAGTGTTGCCCATCTGCTCAGGGTCAGACCAATTGCCATATCTGGGGTCAGGAAGGAATTTTACTCTATTGTCAGATTGGTACAGACTGTGGGAGTTTTTGCCTTCCTCTGTAGCAGGGGCATGGCACTCACCTGGGAACCCTTAAATGTATATTGGTAGCATTTTATAGAACAAAGCATTGACTGCTGTGGTTCCCCAGCTTTATTTGTGGCAAGTTAGGGTATTAGGTTTATTTTGCATCAGGGTTGAGGGTAGTCTTATGTAGAGTTTCGATTGGGGTGGGTAAAATATAGCCCATGGGCTGGATCTGGCCTGCCAGGGGATTTTATTTGGCTTGCGGTGGGTCCCTGGGGCCTGCCTGAGAAAGGCTCCAAGGGCAGCTCAGGATGTGACGTGCTGCTGATCCCACCGACCCCAGGAGTGCAGTGGGGCTGAGGCAGCATAGTGGTCGGACTCTGCTTCCCAGCAGCCCAAGCTGCGGTGGCTCCTTTCTGCTGCTGCCTACTATCAGCACTGCCACTGGCCCCAGCCCTGCTGCCTGGGTACTCCAGCCCATTCAACCAGCACATGCCACCAGGGTTGCCATATGGAGCAGGTGGGCTGGGTCTCCATGGAGACTGGTGCTTGGCCAGGCGGATGGGATGGGATGGGGCTGTCGGAAAGCAGGGAGCAGCATTTGGGAGTGGGACTGGCAGGCAGGGACAGGATTACAGGGTGGTGACAATGCAGAGCTGGGGCCTGGGACAGAGCCATGATCTGCTCTCTGCACATCCCTGTCATGTGGGGAGCAGATTGTGACTCTGCCCCAGACCCTGCCCCTGGCCCTGAGCATTCACTGTCCCTGGTCCTGCCCCCTGCCCACCTGTCCGGCTCCCAGATGCTGCTCCTACCCGTCCGTGGCCCCATCCCATCCATCCAGCCAAGTGTCCCCTGCCCATATGGGTCCCAGGCTGGTCTCCATGGAGACCCTGTGCACCCACTTTGTCTCCCATTCACAGTGGTGGGTGCAGGGTGTATGAGCTGGGGTGCCTGGGCAGTGGGGCTGGGTTCAGCCTGATAGGTTCAACTGCCCCCGCCCCATCAGCACTTCCCCTTCTGCCAGGCTGGGCCAGCACCCCTTCCCTCCCCCGGCCCACAACTCACCAAAAGTCCTACAGTGGCCCTCTAGCCAAAATAATTGCCCACCCTTGGTTTAGATTATGGTTGCATGGGATGGTTTGGATTGGTCCTGGCTCAGGCAGGGGGTGGACTAGATCCATGTTTCTCAGCCAGTGGGTTGTGACCCAAAAGTGGGTCATGAGAGCATATGAAAGGGTCATGAACAAACTTTAAAAATGGATCAACAAACTTCAAAAAAGAATTCTCCTTTAAAGAAGAAAAACATGGGAAACCGTGGCTTTTCTTTGCAGGCTGGCAGAGTTCCAGCCTGCAAAGAGGGACATGGGTTTTGAGAAGGGAATGGAAGGGTGTGAGGAGTTCCAGCAGGGTACAGGTTCCCAAATAGGTCCTGGTACAAAAAAGGTTGAGAACCACTGGACTAGAGATCACTTCTGGAGATCCAGTCCAGCCCTACATCTCAAAACTTCATTGTGCTTTGAATTGCTCCTACTTGTGGTATGGCATTTAATATTAACTTTCTGTACCACCATGGCTCTTGTGCAATAAAGTTCTCCTTTAGTGATTTCCTAGTGCAGAAGTAATGCTGTACATAAATGCCAGCTATACAATGTCTGTCTCATTTCCATACCTGCATAATGATTAGACTTGTTGCAAGGATTAATTTTAATTTTCCTACAGTTGTGTATAGTACATATAAAATATCTAATATAATGTATATGTGTTATATATATTGTATAACAGAAGATATTATGTATAACTTATAAGTATTCCAGAATATATATATATATATATATATTAAACAAAATTCTATTAAATTAATCACTTTACGTATCTAATAAAAGATATCAAATTCACCCAAGGAACCTTGTCTGCCTATCACTTTACATAGACACCCTTCTGAAACAGCTGACCAAGACTTCACCAGTACCTTGTCTTTCTAGTAACAATGGGTACATGCTTAAAATCTCACTTTCTCAGACATGCCTAACGAATTCAGTTATATAGTTGCAGTTCAAAGAACCTTCAAAGATGGAGCATGATTAATTTTGGGAAGGGATGATAGGATGTTCCCTGCAAATGGGACTGAACATGCTGACCCCAGGGGTCCCCACCACGCCTACATTCCTATCAGTAGTGTAACTGGGAGGGTGGCGGGGGGCGGCGAGAGAGGCAACAACCCTGGGCACCAAGTTAGGAGGGTGCTGGAATAGGCCCCCAACCCCTGCAGAGTAGTCTATGTCCTGAGGGCATTTCCATGCTGGGAACTCTAAATCAGTCTCTGGCTCCTGCTGCTTTAAGAGCAACAGCTAGGATGATATGGATATGACTCCTGTCCCTCTCCTGCTCTCAGGTCCTTTACCCCCTGCCCCTGTTTTTGGATCCTGTTTCTCCCCCTATTCTATGAACCTGTACCCCCCTGGAACTCACAGCCCTCCATCCCCTTCTCAAAACCCATATTCCCTTGCCCCTGCTCTTGAAACCACTTGTCTCCCCTTCCCTTCTTCCCCTCCCCTCCCCTCCCCTCCTCTTTCTCCCAGGTTTTGCCAAGGCAGCAACTCTGCCTTTTACGCCACTGGTTTCTGTTAATAAGTATTACTCTAACCAGTCTTTACAAAGTTTCCCCCTTGGTGTGAAGTATAGCCAGAGTGTTATGGATGAATGAACACACCTGCCACAGCTGTTACAGCTTCATAAACAATAAAACCAACATCAGCAAAGGAAATGGAATCACTTATCTTTGGGAAGGATACCTTGGTTGTTATGCAAAACATTTCAAGGTGCACCTGAATTCTAGATTACTCAAGTCATTTCTTTCCACCCAGGGAACATGCCAAATCATTACATAAGAAGTTTCTTCTCAACCTTCCTTGAAGAGTCAGTTTTTATACCAGGGATTAATTTGACCCATTCTGATGTAGATGATGTAGAAATTGTTCTGCATTCTGAATTTGAAAGCTATTCAGAGACTCAGTAGTATCCTATGGCTAGGATCCTATTTTGAGCCAATTCTGCTTATATTTCACATTTCTCCTTCCCTATTCTCTGCTAATATTCTTAAGAATTCTTTTCCTGAAGCTGACTCCTCATTTCAGTTCATAATGTGATGTTGCAGTCACTTCCACAGAAACACACTGTGGCACTGAGCCAGCAAGGAGGGGTAGTGGGGAAACAGAAGAGAGATGGAGAGAGACCGGAAGCTGGTAAGTGCTTTGTGTCACTTAACTAAGGGTGCTGTTACAGGTTACATTTAAGCCATTCTGAATCTGGAATGTTAGGTCATCTTAAAGTAAGAGTAGTTTCAGAGCAGCCACAGGTTCAAGCTTAATGACATCGCAGACACACACAGATGTGACTTGCCACTAAAGGGCCTGATGACCAAGGGCATGGACTCTTTATTGGGTGTGAGACAAAGCAGGAGGGTGGCGTGTAGCTTGGAAACTAGCATGGGGGCTGTGGCTTCCCTCCCTCCACAGCAGCAGGAACTAAGCTGGAACCATGAATGGGAGGAAAGAAATATTGAAAAACTGTTGGAAATGAAAGGTAAGGGGAGAAGTAAAGAGGAAGAAGCGAAAAAGAATAATAATAAAAAAACCCCTAAATCTTGCATGTGTCAATGAATTGGGATTGGGTCAAGTGGTAGTGTGGGGGAGTTGGGTTAGGGGTGGCAAGTTTCATGCTGCATGAGATGGAGGAACTGTCCTGGCTTGGGTGGGCTGTGCGGGGAAGGCATAGCCAGGGCATAGGGCTGAGAACAAGCATGCTTGCTGCATGACGCAGAGCACATGTGGGGCTTGTGGGGCCAGGGAAACTGAGGCATGATGAAATGGCCAGCTGGCAGTGGTGGGGAGGGGGGACTGAGTGGTGTGGTGGAGGGGAGGCACAGCCATGGATTGTGGTGCCAGTGGGGAAGGGAGGGGGCTGGTATAGCAAGGAAGGAGGGAAGGAGACCCCCCTGCATCAGACCACCTTGGTCTTCTTAAAACCTTTAAGATTATGTAAAGCATTATGTAATTATTTAAAGCATTTTTAGTTGAAACAAACTAAAAAAATAAAGATGTTTTCATGTGTTAATGAACTGTGGGTGGTGGGAAAGGGCTGGTCCCCGGGGAGTTCCCTGGCTCAGCCCAGCCAGCTGGCCCTATGCTAGCCTGCCCCAACAGCCTTCTCTGGGGAAAGCTGGGGGGGGGGCAGATTGAGTTGTGGTGGAGTGGGGTCATGCAGCCTGGGAGCAGGGTTGCTGAGACATGAGGGGTCACATCTTCCCATCCTGGCTGGGAGGATTGTCCTGGCAAGCCCCAGGTGCCTACAACAAGCCCTGCTGAGCCCCGCAGTTCCATCCCAGGTTGGGGAGTTTAGATGGGCCCAAGCTTCTCTCCCTTCTCCCCAAGTCCTCTATGGTCCTGTCGCAACCTAGGAAGGAGGGGGCTGGTGTGCACCAAGTCAGTGAGCTTAGGTGACTGGCTCCAGGCCAGCTGTTTGCAAAGAGCTCTACAAAACCGGACCTCAGTCCCTAACCCCATCCCCATCCCTCCAAGCCATGGGTGGGCAATTATTTTGGGTGGAGGGCCGCTTATTGAGTTTGGGCAAGCCATCGAGGGCCGCACGACAGGCAGCCCGGGGCAGATAAATATTAATTTTCTAAATTTTTTAGGGGTCCCACGGGCCAGATAGAATGGCCTGGCGGGCCGTATCTGGCCCGCGGGCCGCATTTTGCCCACCCATGCTCCAAGCTTTGCTCAGGCCTGCCTGTGCCTTTAAGCTGGACACAAGGTGTGGGAAAATTTCAATTAAGCTCAGTTTACTTGAGGTCAGTTGAAATTTTCCCACACCTACCTGGCCCTTTTCCCCTGTTCTCTCTTAGCCAGTCAGGTAGTGGGGGTAGAGTGGGGGGACAGCTTTCCTCAAGCCCCCTCCAAGTCTTGACCCAAGTAAAGAAGACTACGGGAAGGAAGCTCGATAGGGTGGGTCCAGGGAGTCATGCTTCCCTGGCACCAGAGATAAGCCCCAGCAGCAAGGAGCAGAGCTGCTGTAGGGAGAAAACATGGAATATGGGGAGGCATGTTTCCCCGGGCCCTAGCCTCGCTGCAGTTACCTCCCGGCACCTCCACCCCCAGTGCAGAACTGCCAGCTGGGAGACCAGCGGAGGTTTGGAAGGTGGAAAGAGGTAAAGATGCTGGGAGCTGTGCTTCCTGAGATGCTGGAAGACTACAAATTGATGGCTTTATCTTTATGGAGCAGCCTAACACCTTATCTCCATCTGGGTAGAACAGCTCAAAGATAACCCTCATCCCAACTGGTAATGTTTAAAATGCTTATAGAACAGGTTAACACCCTTTCTTGCATGAGTATTCCCATTTTAAGTGCCTTTAGAATAGTTTAAAGGTAACCTTTAAACCCACCCAAAAAGAAGTGACTAAGACTGTGGCTTTCAGCTGGGATGCCACAAGAAGTTGCCCACGGTGCTGTGAAGCTGGCACTGCTGGTGCCACCACTGCAGGGTGAAACTGGCCAGCATGCCTTGGTTTTCAGGAAGCACGTTGGGATCAGGAAGAGCTGTAACAGAAGTGGTGTACCGGCCTCCACAATGTAATACACGAAGGTGCACCTTTTTGGTGCAGCTGTGTCTCAGTTCAGCTCCAACGTGCTTCCTGAAAACAGGTGCGGGGGACAGTTTCATTTGCCCCAGACACCTCTTTCCAGGAGACACCATGCAAGGTCTGACCAGGCAGCACATGCTCCTGCCACAGCTGCTTCCCAATCTGGCTCTCCAAGAGGCGCACAATGCAGTTCCACCTGGCCAGGGCAAGGCCAGGGTGGCAGTGACAGCACTGTGGCACCCAGGTGGCCTGCCCCCTTCCCCACCCTGGCCTTGTGTGTCTTTTTGTCCACCTCCTTCCCCTCTCGCCTCCCCAGTGCTCTCCACATGCTCTGAGCACAGCCCAGCACCTGGTCCTCGGACTGTCCCTTATGTTCCCAGGGTTCAATATTAATAACATGAATTATTAATAGACGGATGCCGTTAACATTCATAATACAGCGTTAGTTTTTAAAAATGGGGTTCTGCAAATTCGGGCAGGTTTTGGAGGGCTGCCTGGAGCCTAAAAAGGTTGAGAACCACTGACAGTGCACTTGTTTTATTTAGATCCCAGTCAGCATCACCATGTTGTGAGCAGTCCGAGGTAATGCTTACTGCCGTCCCCCAATCTGGGCCTGTGGTGCCGGCAACGGGAGGAGGGAGACACGCGGAGGTGACCCCAGGAGAGGGTGCTGCTCCTGTCCCAGGACCTGGGATGGTTTGAGAGCAGTGCTGGGGCCCAAACTCAGGCCTGGAAACCCCTGACCGGGGTCGCGGCAGCACAAGGCCCCAACCCGGACCCGGCCGCCCCTGGGGCTCCCACGTGGCCCCCGGGCCGAGACACCGCCGCACGGGAGGGGAGGGGGAATGGAACGGAGCGGAGCGCGCTGATTGGCCTCATCCCAGCCGTGACTCATCCCTGTTCCCCCAGTGGGGGGGGGGGGGGTCCAT